AATTAGTATCCAAAACTTAACTCTTTCAAGCTACCAAGTGATCGTTCCTATCGACAAGCCCACCCGCCGCGCGGGCCCCACACACTCTCATTGACGTCAGCGCCTTATCAAAATACTTGGCCTTTTTCCCAAGATACTCACTCCACGTCACCGCCCTGTACACAGCCGGGCGGCAATCATCCACCAGCTCCCTCAGCGGGCCCACCTTCACACCCGCGGGCGGCCCGTAAAGGTACGCCACCGACAGCCTGTGCCTTGCCCGGTTCACCACGGCCCGGTGCACCACGCTCGGGTACAACCCGTTGGACATTATGTGGAGCAAGTCGCCCACGTGGACCACCAGGGCCCCGCCAAGTGGTGGCACCCCCACCCACCTCTCCGGATCTTCCCGCCTCACCTGAAGCCCGCTCGTGTTGCTCTGGTGGAGGATGGTTAGGACCGTCGAGTCCGTATGGGCCGCCAGGCCCATAGCCCGGCCCGGATCCGGGCATGCCGGGTAGGAGTTGAGTTGGAGGGCCGCACTCCCTGCTTCCCCCGTGTTTGCCCACTTGATCCCGTCTGCCTCGGTGTCCGTTATCCCGAGGGAACCGAGCACGAGCCGCATGAGATGAGTGGCTAAGTCGTTCATCGCCTTTCGGTACTCCTCAATTGTATCACTGGAAAATGATGAAAAAATATGATTTAATTATATAGAAAATTTGAATTGAGTTGTATAGAAAATTCATTTCAGTTCAATTCAATATAGGTTGTGAACCAGAATTTTTGGTAGTCGTGGGGCCATAGGGCGCGTGCGTGTTCGAGAGGGGAGCCGGCAATGGTGAATCCCTCGGACCACATGTTCTTGGAGAAGAAAGAGGAAATACGAGCGGAGCCGTAGCCAGAGATGCCGTCCGGTTGGCGGGCGGCTCGGAGCTTGTGGTGCATCGGGAGGGAGAAGAGGCGGCCCGCGGCCGACTCGATTTCGTCGAGCAACTCTTGGGGTATGCCGTGGTTGAGGACTTGGAAAATCCCCCAAGCCGTGCATGCATGGCCGACGAGCTCGATTACATCCCTGTCGTTCAGATCGACGACTGGGATGTTTTCGGGACTCTCGCCTGAGAAAGACGGGTCGTCGCTCCATGCATGGGAGTCGGGTAGTTCCTTCATCGAGTTAAGATCTAAGTATTTGTTTCGAGATGTGAGGGTGTCACTTGTTTTTCTTCTTGAAGGCATGGCGGATTTATGAAAAAAGATAGGTTTTTGAGTCCTCGTACTTGGTGTAGATGTGGAATTTAGGGAATATTGTGGTGTGTTGTGTGGGAATGGAAAGGGTGGGAAAGGTGTGTTTATATAGAAATGGAGGGGATGGTGACCAGTCGTTGAGAGCATGGATTTTTGAAATTTCTTTTTGAGAGCTTGTGTTTGTTGTACCTATGGAGGATCTTTGTATTTCATTTGGTGTATATGTAGGAATATTTTATGTGTATCACTAAGATTATTTTTGTCATTGTGTAGTATGTGACACTAGGCTAATGTAGTAACACATAGGTAGACAATTCTTATTTGGTGCAAGTGTAAGTGGCCGAAATTTTATTGGGTGGTCCATGGCGGTTGAGGACAAGAATTAATCAGACTTAAAAAAATATAGGAGATGACATTTTGACGTTTTGAAGCTCAAAAGACCAAGGGGGTTTATTTTAATTTGAGGAGACGGGGGGCCAATCCTTACCATGTGCCCTGTCTTGTCCTCAAGTAGAAAAACATTTGCATCACCTCTTACTACTTTCTGTGCTACCGGACAACAACAAATCCCACCATTCATATGGCTACAATGACGCTTTTGTCCTTGGAATGACTTCTCCTTGGTCCATGTTTTTGTATGTTTATTTGCTTATTTTTCATGTTTTTACTGTGGTGAGTCAAACCAATTTTCGGCTCTTACTTGTGTTTTTGGGACCATTTGTCGATATTGAAATACTAAATAAAGTATGAAAATTGAATAAACGATCTAATCTATCTATACGGTGCCATATGATTTTACATAAATTACTCCATTCTTATAGCTCAAATTATAATTTTGTCCTTAGAATGACCTATTCAGTCTAATTTCATGTTTTGTTTTCTGTTTCATTTCATTGGATGAATAATATGTGTTTAGATGACTTTATATTATATGAGTATCATTAGTTCCACATAATGAAACGTGAAATGAAATATGAAAATAGAATATGATATTTGAATTGCCCTCTAATGTCAGTGAAATTTGTGTAGTTATATGCACCCAAATCTTATTTAGGCACTTGATATGGAATACCACATTAGGTAGAGCAAATCCAATAGACCGGTTGACCAGGCTGAGCTAACTGCTTGGTCGAACAAGAAGGTTGAACGGAGGTCGAGCGCCAGTGCATAACAAATAATAGTCTTCAGGTCGAAGAAGTCGTGAGGGGTTTAAAGGGGCAGCGACGGATGGCTATTTTCTTTTTTTCTTTTTGCTTTGTCCAATAAATTTCTCTCTCTCCTAATTTCTCAAAGGATGTTTTCAAAAAGTATCTAGGTTATTATTATATACATTAAGCTGACATATGATTTTAGAAAATATCTGTTACGGTCCGATTTGAACTGCTGATTTTGGATGGGAAGCATTATTTTCCAATTATTATTCTAATGTTAAAGATTGAAAAATTCTTTAGAAACTATCGAAGTTTCGAAAAAGCGTCTTTTTTCCAAAAAAAGTCAGTTTTCCACTTGAATTTTGAGAAATTATTAACCTTTGATTCTTTTTTTTTCCTCCCTAAAAATTTCAAATTTTTTTTTCTATTTAACAACCAAATCTTCAGGCGGTTCTGACATTTTGCAATACGGTTGACAATTTGCAATCCGTAATCGGACAACTAGATCGTAATAGAAATTACAGTCAACATTTAAGCGAACCATTGGTCCGCAATTCGAACCGCCTCTTTGGCGGCTCGTTTACAAACCTTGAACATTTCTATTCGCGATATTGTCATATTTTAATAAAATAATTATAGCCCAGGTGAACTTTGAATCCTGGCTACGCCCTTGTTTACGGAGCTCGGGGAGAGATGGGGGATGCCAGGATAGAGCGAATGTATATATAAATCATATAGTATATTGTTCATGGTTAACTTTTTTATTATACATATGTGTGTGATTAGCTTGTTAATTGCTAATTAGTTTAAATATCATTGTTACATACTAAGATGATTATGTTACAAACACAAATACATATATGAGGAGGACATTGTTGTCTTTTGCACTTCAACAAACACGTTAAAAAAAAAATTTCTCTCTCTAACCCTCATCCCTAATCCCCAATCTCTCTCTCTCGCCGGCACAAATTCGTTTCGATTCAGTGCCTTCCCTTCGGCTTCCTACCTCGCTGGTAGTCGTCTCCTAGCCACCCCCCCCCCTCCCATGTGTCGTGCCTCCCCTTACCATGTTCTCCGGTGTGCTTTGGTCGACCGCTCTCGGATTTTCCTTCCTCGGCTGATTCGAGCTGGTCCACGGTCGGAGGACACTTAGGCGCTGTGGTGGGGTTTGGTGGGTTGCGGTGCTGTGGGTTGGGGTCAGGTTTGGCTCCGTCGGATCGCGGTCTTGGGTTGGAGTGGCAGGGGTTGCTCTGGTGGGTCCGTTTCGTGCTTACTCCTCCTTGGTTCGGCTTGGCGTGGCTAATCGACATCCTCCTCCGTGCGGTGCTTCTTGGGTGCGACTCAGTGGGCCGAGATTGGATTCGGTTCAGTGGCTTTGGGCTGGAGTTCCGACTTCGGGCCGGAGTTACTGGCTTCGGGCTAGGGTTTCGACTTTGGGCTGGAGTCTTAGGCTTCACTGGTTTTCTTGGTGGAGCTGGGTGCGGTTTTATTGGACTGTCTCTCCTGGCTCTTTCGGGTGGGATAGGGCCGATTCAGTGGACGGATTCTCTTGCGGTTCCGGCGACTTGCGAGTCCGGGCTGGTGTGGCCGGGGTTGAGACATTGGGAATGCTCAACTTTCCCCGATTCTCTGGTGTTGGGTTCCGGGGCGCTCGCCGTTAATACTGTGTCCGCTAGTGGTGTTAGTCAGCCCGGTATTGCGGTGGTTGGGAGTTTACTTGATGTTTTCTGGCTATGGGGAGAATCGGCTGTGGGTGTATTTTGATGCTCGACATTAGGCTCAGCTAGGCAGATTGGCAGTGGAGGGGTCGAATTTCTCGGGCTGAGGGACTTCCATGGTTGGTTTTGTGACTGCAAGTTGGGTTTGGATTTGCCGAAGTGGAAGGGCTTTAGTTTCCTTCTTGTTTGTTTCTATGTTTGATTTGTCTGGTAGGTTGGTTTTTTTGGTGTGGGCACTTAGCCTGTGTATCTATGTTTGTGTTTTTGGTTTGGGCCGTTGGCCCTGTGAGCCTGAGTGTCAAACTTATTATTCCGTTGGGGTCCGACACTCGGATATTACCTTGGGGTCCTTGTAGTTGTTCTAGTTGTTCGTGTTGTTGGTTAGTTTAGTTGTGAGTGTGTTTTTTCTTCTAGCGTTGCTAATGGGGATTTTAGGCGGGTTTCTGACCTGTCCTCCCATCTTTTCAGCTGTTGGCTGCTGTGTTTTCACACATTTGTGCATTTTGATTTATAAAATTATCTTTCGTTTCGAGAAAAAAAAAACAATGATTATTACCTATAATTGGCCTGAACCATCCTACTGCCTAAGAAGGTTTGCCAATCCCTGATAGCAGCTTGGACAATAGAAACATTATCGAAATCAGTGTTATCTAAATTTATGTTCCACAAATGAAATGGATGTAAATTTAAATACAAATATGCATAACATTTTCTATGTATTACTCTTTTGAATTTTGATTAATTTCATCACCAAACTCTGTTGTTTGTTTCCACTCTTTTATTGTAGTGGAAAATAGTGGCCAATATACAAAATAGAGATATTAAATAATGGAGATGAGTACAAACAGAATCATTGGATCTTTAATTCAATTATTTATTTTTTTAATTTATTTTTAGTATTTTAGTCTCATATTTGTTAGTAAGATTACTTAATTATTATATTATTTTATTTAATATAAAAGATATTTAATTATTCATTACTTGTTAGACAAGATTAGGGCTTGTAAGAAGTTCTATCTAAAGACTCATCTTCATTTGTGCGTCAATCGGTTGAATTTGATTAATAAAGATATTTGAGAGTGTTGCTCTAGTTTTATTCTTTTCATTACGCTTTCTCTACGTCAGTTGATATCCAGAGACTAGAAAGATTCACGATGTCACCGAATAGAAACGATGATGCAAACGACAGGCGTGACACCGCCATTGGCGCTTTGGGTCGACAAGTCACGGTTCAGACCGCAGGTTTCAGCCGCCAATCGATGTGGTGGGTCGTCAATTGCAAATTTGACTGTGGGGATCAAGGACATCTGATTGGCTCTAATTACCGGTTTAAATGTTAAGCAAATGAATAGGGAGCGGGGCACATGCGGGGCGCCCCGTTCTTGATTGCCTCAATCGTTTGTCGGTGGCGGTGACTTTGACGTCACCATATCCGAGGTACGTCCTTTTAGTAATATAGCAGCACGGGATGAGGACTACTTCGCGGACGATCAACGATGGGAGACTTCTTTTCAGGCCGAGATCTCGAAATTCTTCGACGGCTTGGAAGCCGCCGAGTTCTTGGATGACAAGGGCTCGAACGAATATGAGAGTCCTCCTCTGTTTTATGACGAGGAGTCGACCAAATATACGGGTGCGTCTTATTTTTATGTCGAGGGGTTGACCGAGTATGAGGGTGGCCTCTTTTTGTATGACGACGGGGTACACGAGGTCGGTGAGGTAGATGGAGTGGTCGAAGGAGGAGATTGGGACGTCCTTTAGATCAAATAAGTGGTTGCCGATGAAGTTGCTGGAGGGGCATTGGCTGGCATGTGGCGCATTGCGTCTGCTATGGAGAAGTTGACAACAAAAGCATTAAAGAATGCTCGATTTGCTACTCAGGAGTATACCAAGTTATCGACCTTTAAAATTTGCCCAGTCGGGATTGTGTTGCAGATGAAGACGAGATTGCGTTGGATTCGAAGATGAATCATTTTCGAGAGGGGGAAAGTGATGGAGATGAGGAAAAATATGATCTTTGGGATATTTAATTTAATTATTTATTTCTTTTATATATTGTTAGTATTTTAGTCTTAGATTTGGTAGCAAGTTATTTCATTATTATAGTATTTTATCTGGTAGAATATTTATTTATCCTTTACTTGTTAGACAAGATTAAAACTTTTTAGGTGTTCTATTTAAAGTCTCTTCTTCTTTTTTGTTTTAATCGATTGAATTTGATTAATTGTTGAATTTAATTAATAAAAATGTTTGAGTCTTTTTTTTTAATCCCTTTTGTTACGCATTTACTACGTCATTAAATGAGACAAAGCCCGTAAGATAGGTCCATAGAGTTCGAATAGAGTTATAA